TTATTGTTTTATTTAAAAAATACTAAATACAATTTAATTTTCCAGGCAAATTTGCCTGGAATACGGTTTAAGGGATACATAATTTTGGCTGAAATTTAATTTTTTAATTGTTTAAAGTTTGGGTTTGTGTAGTGTAGTTAGTTGAAACTATTTTTGATAAATAGTAAAAGTCAAACTAAACTTTCTAAAACTAGTGAAACTCTAACAAAATATTAAAACTCTAATGAAATATCGAAACTTTAGCAAAACTTTTAATAAAGCTAAAACTTTTGAAGAAAGTTAAACATAATATAGATTAAATTTTCTAAGATTTTAAAAAGACTGAACTATGTTGATGAATTAAAAATATTTTGTATATAACCATTAAGCACAGCTAGCTTATATAAGAAAATACAAAAGCAATAAACCAAATAATAATCTTTTATTTGTATTTAAATACTATTAAAAGAAAACTATATTTCAAGCTTTTGAACTTATAATAAATTAATTTAGTATTTGAAATTTTTTTTTTGTTTTACTTTTACTAAGGCTATGATTATTAGTGACTACTGCCTTTATTATATTTTTTAATTATAATTACATAACTTGTATAAGGTAAATATATAACTAGCCACTTGTACAACTTTTGGTTGTCTAATTTAAGTAGTTCACCTGTATAACAGGTTCTACACTAGTTGTCATACCTGCAATCTACTAAAAGATTACCTATTTTAAACATTCTGATCCTTATATTACACTAACAAATAGTTTATAAGTTTTTGTACACCTATATTAGATGTTGTCTAACCTAATCTTAACTTTTATTTCTGTATATCTGTTAAGCCATTACATATTTCAGAGTATGTTATCTGGCTGTAAGGCTGAAGGATGCCTTTTTGCTAACTAACTACTCACATTTAATCCTTATTAACAGGGCTTGTCTTTGTAGAGTTCATTTAGAACTCAGCACTGACTTCACAGCATATCTCTAGTACTTATAATATACTCCTGTTTTTGACCTCAGACTCTTAATCCAGATAGCTCAGAAGGACTATAACCTGTTCCTAGTACCTTAGGGTCTGCCTCCCAAAGGTTCTTTTCTTTTAGTTTGAGACTTTGGCAGTCTGATTGGTAGTATCTCTCACCTGAGGTTCTTGCTTACCAAATTTCTTTTATATTGGTATCTGTTTTCTAGGTCTAGTCTTTATAGTGATATTGTCAAAGATCTATGCTACCTCTCTATTTAGGTTTTTCCAAGTAGGGCCCCAGCTTTTTAGTTTACAGGTTTATACAACTACAAGAAGTTATCTTGAATTTGCATTGCCTAATGCTGGTTTGCATTTCTTTGTATAACTCCAACATTGCACAAATGCCCTATAACCTGCCAGTCATACTGATATAACTATATTACAGATATCTTATTCAACTGATCAACAGAATGCTGTTGCCATAATACTGTCTATATATTATATAAATGATTATCTAAATTTTTGTTATTGGTGGATTTTGAATTCATTATCTATCACTTAGAAGGTTGACAACTTATTTACTTTACTAAGTTATCACACCCTCAGTATTTGAAAATTCAAAGTTTGAAATCCTGTTTTCTTTAGTAGTATTTATTTATATATTAATGTTGTAAGTAGAAGCAGAATTTAAATGAATTTAGAATTTTTTAGTTAAATTAAGATTAAAGTAAAGATGCTTATATAATAAAATTAATACTAAAATACTAACTCTAAATAAAATTTTAAATTTACTTAAATTTTATTTTTACTTACAGCATTAATATTATTTATATAAATTAAATAAATTTATTATTATATAGTTAAGATTTTTTTTATAAGTATTTTATTATTAAAACTTTAATTAAATACTATATATAGAGGTGTGGTAACCTAGTGAAGTGGTCAGGTTGTCAACTCTCCAAGTGGTAGGTTGGGTGTTCAAATCCTATCAATAGTAAAAATTTAGATAATCACTTATATAATATTCATATTATGGCAATTGTTACTAATGATTGAGTTAGGATACCTGTAATGGCAGTTGCACTAGCATGACTGGCAGGTTATGGGGCATTTGTGTAAGTATGGCATTATACAAAAGAATGCAAACTAACAAATCAGGTAGTGCAAACACTAGATAAGTTCTTGTGGCTGTATAAATCTGTTAAAATTAAGTAATAAGAAGTCCATTTGGAAAGACCTGAGTAGAGAGATAGCTGAATCTTCGACATCTCTACTGTAAAGGCTAATCTGGAAAAACAAATACCAAGGTTGTAGTACCCAGTCATAGTAGTTGAACAGGCAAGAACCTCCAGGTTGGGAGTCTCAGAGGTACTACCAACCAGGCCACCAGAATGAATTAGAGAAAAAGGATATCAGGCCAATCTGATATACCAATAGACTAGTTGTAGTCTTACATAGGCTATCTGGATTGGGAGTTTAGTAAAAAGGCAGATAAAAAGACAGAGGTATACTAAAGTACTGAGGTTATGCTATAAAGTAGATGCTAGGGTCTAAGTGAACTTTACAAGAGCATAGTGGTTTAATAATTAGCTCTGACTACAAGTGTTAGTTTTGCCATAATGATATCTAGGTCAGTTGTAAAAATGGGTACAGAAGGCTCTGAAGGATTTACTTCGAGAATAAATTAGTCCTAAGGTTGAGATGATGATCTGGGCATCTTGGTATAACCCAGTAAGTTAACACAAGTTACAGATTCAGAGGGTTTAAAGTGAAACACCCAAGCAAAAGTATTAGGTACAGCAATTGGTAGGGAACCTTTAGGTAGACTTCTTAAATAGATAATATAAAAAAGTTACATGTATAGCCAATTGTACTCTCTCCTGTAGTGGTTTATTGAACTACAATACTGATAAGTGATTAATAAAGTTAAAAGACCAAAGAGGTCATCTTAATATCAAAAAAAAAAAAAAAATACTATATATATCAGTTACATAATTTGTTATATAATAGGGGACAGCAAGAACCATATATATGCTATTAAATGCACTAATTTTCTACTTGCAATGTAACCCATATGCATTATATATTGATTAATAAAAATACAACATCTTCTTTTTGTAATTGGCTAGTTATAACCATTACTTGACTTTCTCAAAAAAGAAAAAAGAACATGATATGAATGTATGATGTTGCATGTAGATGAGCACTTAATGATAAAAAGCAATTTTCATATTTTTTTTTATTTAACTTATAACTTATTTTATGAAACTTTATATATTTATTATAAGTTTCTAACCAGATAATGTAAAATAAAATTCAGCAATATATATTTAGATATAATCATTAATTGAATAGTGACATTTATGCTTTTTAACTGCATATTTGGCTGCTTTTCCCTTGAGCTCTTTTCTATATGCATCCATCTACTGATAAGAAAGTCTCACATACTTTCTAATTTGTTCAACTGGGATCAAATCAAGGGTGATTGGTACCTGCTTTTTTAGTTCTTTAATCATGTAATTACAGGTTTCTCATGTACACTTCTTTGCTGCTCTCCAATACATTTCAATATAGTTAAGCTTCAGGTGGAATTTTGAATAAAATATTATCTGTAGTAAATTTATATTAGCTAATTGAAATATGTATTTACAAACATAATTACCTTATGATCATGCTTTTCTATTTTCTGTTGAATTAATCCATGTTCAGCCAAGAAGTCTAGTTAATTTGCAATAATACAATGTGCACAACAATTGATTATACTAGGATCTTGTTTATTAGTTTTACATTCTTCACAATTAGCTAACAATCCATCTTTTCAAAGACCTTTCTCTTTAAGAAAAGCTTTTATTCCTTTTGGTTGTGATCGTAAAGAAGGTTTTTCATGATTATCAGAATATATCATCATTTGCATTTCACTATTCCAAATAGTATTCTTCATTTCTGATTGTTTGCCATCAGGATATAGATTCATTTTGGAGGCAACTAGTGCATTAGGTGCTATTATAGTATGACTAGTTGCATTGTCAAATACCCATACTCTAACACATTCAGGATGGGTTCATTCAAAAATTTTTATAGCATTTTTTATCTGTAATTATAGTTATAAACTTACATTAATTTTCAAAATTTTGATGTAACTTACGAGTAGCTTACAAGCAATTTTTATATGTCTACCTAATCAAAATTTTTAGAATTATATAAGTTATTATGTAAGTTATAATATAAGTTTACAGCCCTATCTGTAATAATATTTTTTCTCTATTCCAATATCTATCATATTTTGAACCTAGTTGCATTATTATCTATGCCTTCTTTTTTTTATCTTTTAACCTCTCAATTTCTTCAGTAAGAAACTTACTAACATGAAGTTCTAGGCCAAGACCTTTCTTTTTTAACAGCTATTCTCCTTTTGGTGCCCAAAATTGATTAACACCATCATAAAAATAAAAAATATACACATCATGAGTAACTAACATATGTTTATTCTCTTCTGGTAAGAGATGTAGCATTTCATGAATTTCACAGTTAGCATCTAACCACTTTGGCATTAATTTGTTATACTCCTTCATTTTTTGTAAAAACTCTTGATGATATTCAGCAACATCCTCTCTTTTATGACCATCTATATATATCCTCTTCTTATACTGCTTATAAGTAAATCTCATTTTTTTTAACCAATGTTATGCAGTATGCAAAGAAATAGTTTGGGCTTGATCAATATGGAGTTTAGTAAGAATTTTTGTCTCAAAGAATTTTTTAAGTAGTGATAGAGTTACTTCAAATTTTGTTGACTATAAATAGCTGACAACTCTTAATAAAATATACTTATCATGAAGAAATGATTTCGATGGATGTTTTCTATGTTGTGATAGAGATAATTCATTTCCTTTTAAACATGTTTTGGCTCACATATGTATACAACTAGCATGATACTTATCACTATTATTAATTTTTGCTACTGTTTGGCTTGCTTTCATTTTAGGTGTGCTATGTTGAAGAAGCTGAATATAATGAATTACCGAAATATATCTTACCTTATCTGGTTTTGATATATTAGCATTGTCGATTATTCTCTGTATTCTTTCAATTGTTTCTTATAATTGTTGTTTCTATTGTGCAGATTCTTCTATAGGATCATTTTCACTTTTATAATCTAACTGGTCTTTTATTTTTTCATTATCATTCAGATTTATATTATTTGTTGAGCTAAAAAATTGTGTTATTTTATGACTTCCTACTGCTGCTAATTTGTTTGCTTTTAATTTTTGCTGTCTTGTTCTAACAGAATTACCAGTATATCTTCATGAGTTTTTTATATTTTCTAGCTTTTGAGCACTTTAAAACAGTTTTCTAAACAATATTTCTGCTTTTTTCTCAGTCTCTAAGTTATACTCATTATCATCAATTATAGATGTGTCTTTGCTATTACTATCATCTAATATAGTACTTTCACTTTCATCATTAGTGGAATATATGTTTAAGTCATAGGTATTATTTTTATTGTATTTTTTATATAGTTTTGCCTTTTTAATATTATTGCGATAAACTAACAGGTGTTTTCTAAGGCGACCTATGGCTAATACAAGAAGAAGTTATAAACAAAAAATTGAGACTCAAAAATAAATGTATAAAATAAGATGATAGAATAGCTCACTGAGCTTAAAAGTAAAGAGAATTCTCTTATCAGACATCTTTATTAACTTCATATTTTTTTTTTTTAATAACATTTACAGAACTTTCTCTACTACATTTCATCTTATCTAATTTTTAATTTGATTGTAAATGTTGGCATTGTCTTTGGGGCTTGAATTTACATATTAAAAAATATTCTTATTATCATTTTCCTTTTTTTTCTCTTATTACGTTTGATTCTTTATTACTAATCTTTCAACTTACGTTTCTTTTTAGATTTTTATATGTATAACTAAGCCAATTTTCCTTTTTAGAATTATTAATTTTATGATTCTCTTATTTTGGTTAGCAACTTTGTGGTTAGTCAATAATCATGCTAATCAAGAACAATAATTATAATCAGGTTTGTAAATATAGTGTGTTCTCAAGCAGCTTCTTCAATGTAATTAGCTAGCTATCAAAATATTGCTCAAGTTATTATAATTAATAGACTTGTCTATATAATTAATCGAAGAACGACTTGTTAAAAATACATTGTGGATTCTAAATTTTAGCCAATTAGAACAATTTAATGAAAAAAAATGGTCTGCACTTCCAGGTTTTAATCTATTAAAATGGTCAATATCCAATTAATTAAACCTTTGCCTTCAATCCACTGATTGAGTGCATGAGAACATCCATAGTGTGGGCTATATTCAAACTTTTAAATTATTAAACTTATACAAATAAAATTATAAAGTATTTAAAAAAATAAGAATTTAATCTAATTTTAATTGCTTAAGTTTAGTAACTTAAAGTTATCTTTCTTTTAAAGATAGTCTGCTAAAAGCCAATTTAGAATTATAATCTGTATTATATTCATAATTATGTTTTAAATAATTGATAAAAAAATTTTTGATTTCATATTGCAAGTTTGCTATACATTATGTTATATGATATGAGCATAAAATTTAATTGGCCAATTTTGCAATGCTAAATTTTTATTGGATGATTTTCTTCACATGATTGGTGCTAATTTTTTAGCTTACATATAAAAATAGATAGTTTTTAATTTGATATTATAAAATAATTATTTTATATAACTTTAAATGTTTTTTATAAAAAATATTAGTAATCTAATAAAGATTAATTTTTATAAAAAAAATTTATTAAATATTTAGTTTTAAATATCTAATATCAATTTAAATTATTGTATTTTTATATATGATTTTTGCTGTCCCTTACTGTACAATTTTGCTTCAAATTATTTTTTATTAATTTAATGTAAAATTTTATTTTAAACAAGTTTACTTAAAAAACAAAAATAGATTTTCTTAATAAAAAAAAGTTTTATATAAAAAAACTATAAATTTTATACTTATTATATAGTAACTATATTTTTTTACTAAAATAATCTACTTTTGTCTTTTAGATAAAGTTATTTAAAATAAAATTTTATATATAATTATAGGTTTATAATTAAAAAATAGTTTATTATAATAATATATATTATACAAACAAAATATACAAATTTTTAAAAATTTTATATATGATTTTATCTAAATTTTAATTTTAAAAACATATAAAATTTCTTAAACTTTAAAGCTTTAATGTTTTTTAACTTATATATTAATAAAAAAATTAAATTTTATTATTAAATATATTGAAAAAAGAAGAATAAAAATCTTTCTATAACTTTTTAAAATTTTGTAAAAATTATATATATTTTTTGTATAACTTTACTAAAAAAAATATTTATTAATTTTAAAATTACAATTATATATAAAATTTTGTTCTAAACAAGTTTATTTAAAAAACAAAAATAGGTTATCTTAATAAAAAAAAGGTTTTTTATATACTAATATTAAATTCTTAGTTTATTATATAAAACTTTTTATTTTACTAAGATAATCTATTTTTGTCTTTTAAGTAAACTTGTTTAGTATAAAATTTTATACTATTAAGTCTTTAGTATTAATTTTTATTTATTTATTTTTTTTTTTGTGTTAAACTAGCTTCGTTTGAAACTAGGGCTTTTTATTTAGTAGTTAGGATATAGAAACTTATAACCAAGATCTCAAAGAAATCTTCTTATATTAGAGAGTACAACTAGTACATATACACTTTTGGTGTCTAATTAAGTAGTTTGCTGATGGTTCTACACTAGCTGCCATATCTGCAATTCAACTAGAAGTATTGCCTTTTTAAATCCTCTGTACTGCAATTCTTACTGTATTACTAGATCATCTTCACTATGTAAGTCAGTCAAGAAGGTTTAGATGCTTACCTGTATCCTTAGAACCTTATACCTTATTTCATACAGTGTATTTTCAGAAGCATCATTACTAGAGCCTTCTGTGTCCTACATATAGCTAATCTAGTTTTATATAACATGCTATAGTTATCTAATACTTGCAGTTAGAGCTAAAATCAAACTACTATATTATACTATTTCTACTCTTGTAAAGTTCACTAGAACCCTAGTATCTATCTTTCTGATATATTCTTTATTATTCTCTACTAGCTACAACTCAGAACTAGCAGTCTCTTTTAAACTACCAATTCAAATGACTCAGTATGATATACTTCTGTATCTTTTTCTTCTAGTGAATCTGGTGGCCTAGTTGGTTATATGCTCCTTTATATATTTGATGTTCAGTTTAAATTTTGGTTTCTATGAAAGTGTTTTGTGAACTTCAACTGGTCTGATTGTATTGTCAAAAGTTCATACAACCTCTTATTCAAAAATTTTCAAATGGGTTTTTATCACCTTAGTTCCTTAGTTTTCTATGCCTAGTAGTCTTATCATAAGTTTGCACCAAAGTTTTATACAATACTGATTATATATTCCTCTATATACATGTAAAATTACACTTTACATAGATGCTCTGAGCTTCCAATATAAGTAGGTTCTGACTTGGTATATCTGAGTTACAGTCGCATGAGGCCAACTGATTAACAGAAGACAGTTACCTTATACAGATATAAGTTTCAAATTTTGGCATAGGTGGGATTTGAACTTTAGACCTGCCACTTGAAGGATAACAACTCAACCACTATACTAGAAAGTATTAATTTTTATAAAGCTTTTACTAAGTAAAAAATTTAATAAAATTTAAAAAAATTTTAAAAAAAATTTTTTAAAAATTAAAATTTTTTAATCAAAGTTTTTATTTAATAAAAAGTTTATAAAAATTGATGCTAAAAATTTAATAGTATAAAATTGTATGCTAAACAAGTTTACTTAAAAGACAAAAATAGATTATTAAAACTTTTATATAGATAAACTAAAAATTTTAATATTAGTATATAGAAAACCTTTTTTTTATTAAGATAATTTATTTTTGTCTTTTAAATAAACTTGTTTAAAACAAAATTTTATATATAATTGTAATTTTAAAATTAATAAATATTTCTTTTTAATAAAGTTATACAAAAAATATATGCAATTTTTACAAAATTTTAAAAAGTTATAGAAAGATTTTATTCTTTTTTTTTTTTAACTATCTCTGATGTTTTTACAATCATTATGAGATACATATAACACTCTTTTTTATTAAGTGCTACTTAAAGCAATATTAATTACATATTAAAATAATTCTAAACTAAATATTTATATATTTTTATAAATAGACTTCATGAAGTATTTGTCACAAATCAGCATAATCTTTTTAGAGATTCTATTCTTTGCAATTATAGAGAGTACTAAATCTGAGTGTTGTATATTACCTTATTTGTAGGCTGCATAACAGCATTAGATTTTATATATAGTGTATGTGTGTAGCCATAAAATAGTTCTATATGTCTTTGTTTTTTTAGTAATATTTTTTAAAAAAATTTTTATTGTGTTTGATTTTAAGAATTTGTATATTTTTGTTCAAATTAGTTTGCTAATTTTGCATTCTGCAGCAAAGTGCTTGATCATTTGTATCTGTTTAGAACACTATGGGCATTCTCCTGAATCTGTTGATACAAAGTTTTAAGTCTGTATCCTAATAGTAGAGCTTTGTGAAATAATTGCCAAAGTATGTCTTTCTTTTTGTTTAGTATTGCTTTCTGAAGAATCTAGTTCTGGTTTTGTAAATACACTATGGGTTCTATTTGGTTTACTAATTTAAAGCTAAGTTTTCTTAAAAGTTCTACTATAAATTTAACTGATATTTTAGTAGCTTTTTTTCTGTTTATTTTCAGTTCTGTTAGGTTTCATGACCAGTTAGATTCTGATAGTATTTTTTCTTTTATTTTTTTTCAGACTAGAAAATAGGGTTTCCATTCTATAGGTCAAGCTTTTGATCTAATAGGCTATATAAAGAGTGTCTCTTGTACTAAGATATCTCTTTTTTGAATAAGCAGAAAAGAAATTCTATTTCTTTCTAATTTTGCCTATAGGAAATTACTTGAGTTTAGTTTAATTCAAACTAATAGTAGTTTAGTTTCTAGTAAGTTGCTGACTATTGGAGCTTGTAGACCACTTTGTTCATATGATTGTTGAAAAGTAGAGTATCTTGGTAGCATTTTGAAGTTGCCTTTGACCTAAAATGTAATAAGTCTGTTGATTTCTGCAACTTGTTTTTTATTTGGTAATATTAGATATGCAATGTATTATATCTTTAATAGAAGTAAAGAATTTGTAAGCATAATTCTTCTTTTGAGTAACAGGTTTCTGTATGTGAGCCTTTCTAAGCTTAGTTTAAGTCTGTTTATAGCTTCTTGCCATAGGCTTTTTTTTGGTATACCATTGGCTATAATGTTATAACCTAAAACTGTAATATTATTTTGTTTTTTAAGTTTTTTAAAGCAAGTTTTTTAAAGCAAGTTTTTTCTGAAAGGTTTATACTTCTAGCTGTATTGTAAGAAGCATTAGGTTTGTTTTAAGTTTGTTGATTCTTGTATTAAAAGCTTTTTCATATTTTCTGAACAAGTTTAAGATTCTTGTCCAATCTGGGTGTAAGCTAATTCTAATCATAAGATCATCTGCATATGCTGTACATTTGAAAGATTGATTACCAATTTTGATTTCTGTTAATTTGTTGTTTAACATGTTTAGCAAAGGTTCAAATGCAAGTACATATAGTAGAAA